TAGATTCAGAATTAGTACATACTGCATGATGAGTTTGTCTATTAAGAGAAGAGTTGTCAGCTTGTAGTAGATAAAGACCCGAATCCATACTAGCATTGCCAATCGTCTTCCCCGAGTTCAAGTCCTGAAATTCACACAGTTTAAAGTTAAATATAGCCATACAATTCAAGTCCTGTGATAATTTACTTACTGACAGGAGATTGCAATCCAAATTTGGAACATATAGCACAGAGTACAAAATTAACTTGGGTGTCAGTGCAATTATTCCTGTTCCTTTGATCTGGGAGCTAGAACCATCAACAATTTTTAACTGAGAATTTACTTCTGCACTTACTATATTTCTTGAATAGTGAGATATCCCCAGTTATATGATCAGAAGCACTTGAGTCAATAATCTATATTCCCTTTTTTGTGGAATAAGTTGAGAAACCAGAAAAATTACCTTTGTGAGCTGTAGAAGCATTACTGAGAACCATATTGGGTGAAAACATTTTTCGGAGAAGGCTGATTTGTTCAGGACTAAATAAGGAGCTTTCGGTAGAAACGACTACAGTTAATTCCTCATTCGTTGAGACAAAATTGCCCTGATGAATTTCCTCTATTTTCTGCTTTGGTGTTTTCTTCTTCTCAGCCGATTCCTTCTCAGCTGGTTTCCCGTGAAACTTCCAGCATCTTCCACGAACGTGTCCCGGCCTTTTACAGTATTCACACCATGGCTGGCCCTTTCGCTTAGTCACCCGACTTGTGAAAACAGTACCAGTCTCGGGTGAGAGAGATTTGCTTTCAGCAGGGTTAGGATTGAGTTGCGAGCCACCCATCGTCACTTTCTTCCTGCTTTCTTCTCGTTGCACCTCAGAGAACACCTCTCTGATGTTTGGGAAAGGTTTGGTTCCAAGGATGCGTCCTCTTATCTCGTCAAGGTTTTGTTTAGTCCGAAAAGGAACTTGAAGATTCGTCTCTGTTCCACGATACTTCGGAATCTCCTAGCATCCTCTGAGCAACTCCAAGCATGTTCCTCAAAAACATCAAGTTGTTGCCATTTTCGAGTAAAAAAATTGTAATATTGAGTTACTGTTTTTTCTCTTTGGCGCAGGTCGTGAAGGCTTGCTTCGATTTTGAAGATGGCGGAAGTGTTGTCGCGAGTGGAGTAAAACTTACGAGCTACGACCCAGATATCGTGCGCAGTCTCATAAAGGAGAAAATTTTCGCTAATCTCAGCGGTCATTGAGTTCACCAACCAAGACATAACAAGATTGTTCTTAACTTTCCATATACGAGCATTTGAATCATTCGCGGAAGGAGGTCAGAGCTCTCCAATGAGGTATTCATCTCGGCCTTTCCATCGGATGAACATCAACACCGAGGGCGACCATTGAAGATAGTTACTGCTATTTAGTTGATGGCCAGTAACGAAAGATGGAGCCTGATCAGTAAGAGCATAGTTGTCAGGCACCGGAAGGTGAGAGCCCAAAAGAACTTCGGGCAGAGAAGGGGTTTGCTCATCCATTGCCTATTGAATGCAAGAGGGATGCTGAAGAATTTGGGTCAGGTTTGCTCTGATAACATGAAGAATTTGAGAATAAGAAATAACTCCCATTTTTTCTCTACATTTATTCATTGATAATCGGCACATTTTATAGGCAAAGGAAGGAGGAAAAAGACAAAAAATTAACAAATTTCCCTAGTGGAAGGAAAAAAAGGCATAACTTGACAGAAACCATTTTGTTATATTGCCAGGTTGTAAAAAGCAGAAAAAAGAAAATATTGAAAATAATTCTACACCTTTGATATAACTTCTGTAAGAAACTAAGGTACATCAAGAAAAAATGTTGGAAGCTCCATGAGAAGCCGACCGTCTAAAGTAAGGATTGGGGAAATAAGAAAAACCAGAGACAGGCACATTTAGCTTAAGAGGAGAAGAATAAAGAGACCTGTGATTTCAAGGCAGGAATTGAATGATGAAGAATCCGACTTGAACAACTTGAAAAATCTAAAGGTACAGGTTTCATAGCACGAGTATGTTTTCTATGTTTCATAGTTTAAATGTCTCAGATAAATTTTTTGCATTATCATGGATAGTGGGTTCAGGAGTTACTGACCATATGACAAACATCCTTAAATTGTTTGGCAGTAATTCTCCATATCCTAACAATAGGAATATTGCATTACTGATAGTTCACTAACCACAGTAGCAGAAATTGACACCATAAAACTTAATTCCTCTCTCACTCTTCGAATGTTTTCTTCATGTACCCAAATTGTGTACAAATCTCATATCAATAACCAAATTATCTCATGACTTTAATTGCAAAGAAATATTTTCTCATTATCTTTGTAAATTTTAAGACCAGAATTCTGGAAGGATGATTGGATGTGGTAAGGCTCGAGACGGGTTATACTTCTTAAATACACCTGACGCACCCAACAACATTCTCTCTACCAGCACATTAGACAAGTTATAGTTGTAGAATAGGAGATTAGGACAGCCTTCTTTCTCCACCTTTAAGTTTATGTTTTTCTCTTTATTTTCTAATTGTAACAATGAAAGTTTACACTGCACTGGATGTGAACTAACAAAACACCAGTGTGTAACTTTTCCTAGTGATAAAGGAAGTGATTTACCTTTCAATTAATTCATAGTCATGTTTGTGGTTCTTCTAATATTCCTAATATCTGTGTGATACGGGGGTTTATTTTCTTTATTGATGTTACTACACTTCTTCTCTTGCAATCTAAAACTAAATTCAGTTATATTATTCCCCAATTTCCTATCATGATTGAAACCCATTATGGGATCATGATTAAATGTCTTAGAACTAATAGCATCTAAGATTACTTTAACTAGAACTTAAACGGCTTCTTCTAAAAAGGAGGAGTTGTTCATGAATCTTCTTGTGTATATACTCCACAATAAAATGGAATTGTATAACAAAAAATCAGCCATTTGCTTACTACCACACATGCCTTCTTGTTTCAAAACCATGTAGCTAAACACTACAAGGGGAAGCCGTGTTAATTGCCACATCTTATGAATTAGTTTTTATCTACAGTACTAGATTTTCAAAGTCCAATGGAAATTCTAGCTACTTTATTTCCATAAGTACACGCCGCCAATAATCTTATATCTCGTGTCTTTATGTGTATTGTTTATATCCATATGCAATAGTCTCAAAGAGGGAAACTTGATCATAAGGTAATTAAGTGTGTCTTTATAGGATATTCCTTCACTTAAAAAGAACACAAGTATTATCATCAATCCAAAAAGAAATTTTATGTGTCTGTTGATGTTACTTTTGTTGAGACTGAGTCATGCTTTGACTAATTTTATCTTCAAATAGAGATCATAGTAGAAGATAAGAGAGACTTAGGAGACTCATTTTTTGACATTTCTCTCCTGTCTTTAGACACTTTACCGTCAGCATGTTGTCTTCGTTATCTAAGCCCATCACTTCGTTAGAAGATTAAAATCCACAAAATGAACCCAAAACCTCCCAAGATAAGCCTAACCAGCAACTCATACAGGACTCACATATATCCAAGTGTATTCAAGAAGAAAATCCGACTCTAGTTCAAAGTAGATTCAAGAATTTAAGTCGAGTTCTGGAAGTGAAGTAAGCTCTCAAAATCATTGTTTTCCTTATACTGATTTACCTATGGCACTTCGAAAATGGAATAGGGAATGCACCAAGCATCAACTCTATCTAATTTCTAATTTAGTATCACTTTAAAACTGTTTCTCAGCTCATAAAATTTCTTTACAAACTTGAATACAATATTTTATTCCCAAAAATTTATACGAAGTTTTAACTAATGAGGAATGAAAAATTACTATGAATGTCAAAATACAAACACTAGAAAAAAAATTAAATTTGGGAAGTAGTGGATTTACCTAAGAGGAAAAGACCTATAGGCTACAGATGGATGTTCGCTATCAAACGTAAGCTTGATGGAATTGTTGAGAGAGATAAGGCAAGATTAGCGGCTATAATATAACCAGATATACGAAATTGGCTATCAAGAGATCTTTGCACTGGTTGCAAAGATGAATATAGTACAAATTCTACTATTTTTAGCTGCAAACTTTAATTGGTAGCCGTAGCAGTTCGATGTGAAGAATGTCTTTCTACATGAGGAATTGGAAAAGGAAATTTATATGGCAATTCCTCTTAGTTTTGCCAAGAAAAGAGAGAAGAATAAAGTATGCAAGCTCAAAAAGGCGCTGCGTACACTTAAATAGTCGCCCTGGGTTTGGTTTGAGAGGTTTGCCAGGGTAATGCTATCCTGGGTTACAAACACAGTCAGGAAGGCTATATCTTGTTCATCGAGCACTCAGAGACAGGGGGAATCGCTGCCTTATTTGTGTATGTAGATAATATAATTGTTAGAGAAATAATTAAGGAGAGAAGAAGATCCTCAAACAATATGTAGTTAAGGAATTTGAGATTAAAGAATTGAGAAGATTAAAATACTTCATCGGGATAGAGGTGGTATGTTCTAAGTATGAAATATTTATGTCTAAAAAAAATTATATTCTAGATCTCTTGAAAGAGATTGCCAAACTGATATACAATGCCAAAGAAAGACTTCGAGGCAGAGAACGAAATGTATCAGAGGTTAGTGGGGTAGTTAATATATATGTTAGATACAAGACTAGATATTGTATATGCGTTGAGAGTAGTGAGTTAATTTATGTACAAACCCAGAGAAGTGCATTTGCAAGTTGCCTATAGGATACTCCACTACTTGAAAGTTACTCCAAAAAAAGAAATTATGTTCAAGAGAAACAACAGGCTGCTTCTTGAAGCAGATACAAATGCTCTTTGTGCAGGTTCATTAGTCGACAAAAGATCAACATTTGGATAGTGCACCTTTTTTGGAAGAAACCTAATGATTTGGAGAAGTAAGAAGTAGAATGTAGTATTCCGATCCTATGTCGAGTCAGAGTTTAAAACTGTCCCAAAGAGTATGTGAGCTCATCTGGTTGAAAATGATTTTGAAACACTTGAAGGTTCCATGGAATGGACCTTTGGGACTTTGTTGTAATAATAAATCAACAATTTGTATTACTCACAAGTCAATACAACATGACAAAACGAACCATATTGAAGTTGATCAACACTTTATCAAGGAGAAAGAATAGTGGATTGATATGCACACTATACGTACCCACTACTTTATAACTTGCAAACTTATTGATCAAGGGATTAAGTAATCTCGGATTTCAAACTGTCATTGACAAATTGAAATGAATAATATCTATTCACCAGTTTGAGGGGAAGTGTATATAGAAAGTAGGTTAAAGGTATATTAGTGATATTTCCTCTTGTAATCTTCGTAACTAATTGGTTTCCTTGTATGATTGTTTAGGGACTTGTATATGTAGGTAGCTAATACCTAACAGAAAACATAACAATTCGTTCCTCCACATTAATACCAGAAAATTAAAATATATGTTGTATATAATTAGAGAAACAAAATATGCATGAGCGAATCTATAACTGATTTTTGGAGAAATCCTGAACATAACCAACCTCTAACTGATCTTTGGAAAAATCTGAATCAAACCACATTTTTTTCAGTTCGTTTCTGTTTGAATCATTGATTTTGCTTGGTTTTACAGTTATCTCTGCACAACCCTACCAACAGTACCTAAATTTATGGCACCCGAGTGTTGTGGGCTTTAGATGCTTCGATGTGATTATTACCTTCAGAGGCCTTTTTTCTGATGATCTTATTATTTTTGATGGGATTCATTTAAATTTAATTGTTTACCTGCAGGGAAAAAAGGTGAAGGTTCCCACATTCCTTGTCCCTGCTACTCAAAAGGTTGGTAATGATATATACATTGTGCTGAAGGAGAGTGGATAGGTTGATATGGTTGGAATCAAATAAACATGAACTGAGAAATTCACCAATTTGTAATGCTATGATATTTTCCAGGTTTGGATGGATCTATATACTCTTCCAGTTCCAGGATCTGGTGGCAAGACTTGTTCCCAGATATTTGAAGAAGCTGGATGTGACACACCTGCAAGTCCTAGTTGTGGTGCTTGTTTGGGTGGCCCTAAGGACACTTATGCACGCATGAATGAACCTAAGGCAAGTTGTTCCAAGCATCTAGTTTACTGTTCTCCCTGATTTAGCTCTTAAAAATATCTCTTGAATGCTCTTAAAAATGAGTAATTGGAATAAACCAGGAGGTATAGCACATACCAGATGGTACAATTCTATCGAAATACCTGATACAATCTGAATTTAGCTTGTTACTAAAAGTGATGACTGTTAGCTGATGAGTGTTTAAAAGCACCGCAAAGTCATAGAGGATTATTTTTAGTAGATAACCTCTTAATAACCAAAAGCTGAAACATTAACGTGATCATTTGAGGTGGGTTTCATAGAGGATTATTTTTTATTCTTATATTTTACTCATTTGGTAATTTTTTAGAATTTTTTGGCTTGTTGGTATTTGCCCCTATATAATTTTCTTCTCCAAAAAATAATGCTTATTTTCTATTGAAATATTTATTATGTTTGGGCATTGGCAGCAACGGAAATTCATCACTTAGAACTAAAATCTTTTTATCTATTAACTATATTTTTTTAACAACCCCACATACAAAGGGAAAAAACTACTAACGTTAATGATGCATTCTGGAAGCTGAATAATGAGCCTTTACATAGTTTTTTCCGTCAGTGCTGTCATTATCTACAGCAATAATATTACAAGTAATTCCTTTTACCATATTTTTTCCACCAGTACCATCTTCACGCACCATCATTTTGTTGCTACCACTAACTTCAATATAATGCCATCACACTGTCTTTGTTAGACCTTTTCTTTTCAACATTTCTAAATTGGAATTTTCTGATCCTCATTTAGATTTTTCATAAATTAGCTTATTTTTATATTTAAAGTTAGAGGATGTCTCTTTAAAGATAAATTCGTCATCCTTATTTTTTTTCCTTTCCATTCACTCGGATCTCTTCTGATTCATACGGATTCTTGTGGTTCCGGAGGATCCAGCTATTGGAGACTAGGAACGGAGAGCTTTCTTTCCTTTTTTGACCTAGTTCTTTTGAATTCTGGTTTTAAGAATGAATGGTTGCTCTTTTTTAACCATGGTGGCGGTAACTATAACAGTTATAAGATAGCAAAATTATTTGTCGGGTAAATTCCAACCGACATGAAAGGCATAACAATCTGGGCACTATCTTAGAGATTGCCTAGGTGAAATAGGCATGTTTATGAAGATGCAGACTCCCCGCACTTCTGGCTAATTATTTTTCGATTAAATTTTTTAAATAAATTTGTTTTAAATCTTTTTTTAATAGTCAATATTACGGTTGGTCCTTTCCTTGGAAAAGAAAAAGAAGTATTATGACAGAGAAAAGGAAAAGCACATCAAAGGGCTATTTGTCCTCCAAAAATAAAGGGAAAAAGACCAAAAGGAGAAAAACTAAGGCAATAAAATGAACTCAATAGAGAAGAAAGGATCAACATGTGTAAAACAGAAAGAAACATACTAATAAGAGCCAGGTGCCTTTGCCCAAATAGATGCCAAAAGAGTCATCATCTTCCAAAGAAACAAAAAAAGGCAAGAAATTATCCTCAAAAGATTCTTGCAGACCTCTCCAACTACACTACCCACAGCCGAGCAAAGGAAGCTCTCCTCTACAGCAAGTTATCCTCCTTGTCAACACCACAAAGAGAAGAAAAGAAATAAAGGCCTTTAAGTTCGGAGGAGAAACCCAAAATCATAAAAAATATCAAATGAACAAGCCCATAGTCCCCTAGCCAAATCACAATACAGAAAAAAATAGCTGTGAGACTCAACATCAAGAAAACACACCACATATGTCCCTGGTAATAAAGACTTGGAGCCAGTTACTAGTACTACTATTTTTTAAAATTTCTTTGATAGAAAAAAGTACTAAGCTTATGAAGAATTTATTCCAAATAAAAACCTTATCCTCCAAAGGGAGCAACAACTTTGTACAACATTTACCAAATGTGTCATTCTGAATAGTAGGGTTATGGGTTAAAAAGGCAAAGAAAGATTTACCAATAAAATTACTTCTTGATTATATTTTCCTTTGTCGGTGATTTGGTTTGAATGCTTAAAACTTGTTTTTATTGTCATAGTTCACTCTTATGTTTTCAGTTCATTCTTTTCCTTGTCACGCTGCTTTAACATAATTGAATTTGGTCATGTTGGCGTGATGGGCTTAAGATTTGTCTGAATTTTCATTCTATTATTTAAAGAGGTTCATAGCTTGCCGTATCCCCAAAATTTTTTCTTCTGTTTTTCTTTCACAAACCAGAACATGGTGAAGGATGATGGTGACAAGATTTAGTATTAGTGGGCCAAAACAAAACCTCAGGGGAGGAATGGGTTCTTGATTTTAATTAGTAACATTCTTATGGACGTACCCAGTATGCTTGATACTGATATTTATATTAGCAAAGATTTTACAAAGGCAAAATTTGAGGCTGATTTTGGCAACGTTGACATTGACATTTATGAAGCTGATGCTTCTCTTCTGACAATCAAATAAGACAGGGAAGTGTCTTTGTAGAATGCCGAGATGTAGAACTAATGATAATTTAGTCACACAGCATCGTTTTCACCTCTTTTTGGTCACTATCATATCTACCTCGTAAGTTAGTGGTTACTTCTTTCAGTTTTGCTAACAAAGGGAAGATTCTAATTGTTGCAGGTTTGCGTCTCCACCACAAATAGGAACTTCCCAGGGCGGATGGGGCACAAGGAAGGCCAGATATACCTTGCTTCTCCTTACACAGCAGCAGCATCTGCTTTAACAGGCTATGTCACAGATCCAAGAGAGTTCTTGATGTAGGGTGGCCATTTCTAAGTTGTTACTCTGTACTTTATAGTTTCCGTAATATGTTTGTCGACCTAACTTTTGAGTTGTAAGTCTGGAAGAAAAAAAAAACAAAAAAAAACTTGGAAGTTATTGGTAGTCCTGGGTTTTGTAGTGCTAATCCCAGAAGATGCTGTCTGTTGTATTCTGAGCTAAAAAATAATTTTCATATTCAGTGGAAATTGAATAAATGTGTTGTAGAAGGAGACGGTTTTATTATTGGTTTGTGAATGGAAAAATATTATTATAGCTGTTTTAACTTTCCAAGTACAAAAATACAGGGAACAAAGATGTAAAGAAGCTTGAGAATCAAAACCCGAAATCAAGCTGGAAAAGAATTCCTGATTCCTGAACAAGAATTTGGGCTCTATATAGTGTAAGAAAGTATTTTAACTTTTCATTCCTCAAATTTATAAATATATACACGCAATATATGTTGTGATAGTTGAAAAAAAAAGTAATGTTTAAAAAAGAAAATGATTGAAAGTATAGAATGAATTAGGTGACAATCTGATGGATTGTATCCAGGCAGCACAGCACTTGATGAGATCTGCTATGATGAACAGATTTTTTTCTTCTTTAATGGCAGCAATGAACACATTTTCCTTATGTCACCTAACAGTTAGCAAAATTTGGCCAAAATAACAAAACATCAATTGCAGAAACACAATCTAAACAAAGTAGTAAAATCATTCACTGCCTAATCATGGGCCCTCAGCTAAGGGCAAAGACACAGTTGTCAACTTTTCATGCGCACATATATATATATATGTTATGTATATACATCTATATGTCCCACAGCTGGGGCAGTCCTGCAATTTTTAGGACCTTTTTTTTTTTTTTTTTAATATGGTGAAATGGCACAACTAATTATTGAGAATGATCTCACAAACTTTTACTCAAATGGTGTTGGCAATTGGCATTCAAGTAGCCATAATTGAAACCTACCCTCTTTCCTTCCCTCATGGGCTTCCTAGGATTGCAGTCATGAACCTTTCCAGCTATTCTGCTTCCAATTACAATTATGAATGTTTTGGATGAAGTTATAAAAAAAGTTTTTTAACTTTTACTTGATGGGTCACTTATTCACTTTCACAAAGCCATAGTTACTTGGGTGTAATCTTAACTTATTGTAACTTAAGCTTGTTAAAAATATTAAACTTCAATATCCATTTTAAATATACATATTCTTTTTGTTGTTGGTGGTCAGATTGTTTTCAAATAAACTTTTCTATATTGAAACTGAATTTATTATTAAGTAATCCTAAAGATGCACTCTCATACATTGGAGTGATGGGTTAAAAATAATATTATATATATAATATAACTTACATGTGCAATTCAGTTTATAGCATGTTCATTCTAAAGGAAAAGGGAAAAGTAAACTGAGAAAGTAAGGGAAAGGGGGAAGGTGAAGTAGAAAACATTGGGTGTCCACTAAAATCAATTGGGTGGTAAATCAGCAGTCAAAATCAGAATGATTGCATAATCTCAATCATCATATTCATTGATTGGATGTTCCTGATTTTCCCCCCTTAATTTCAATCTTTCCATCCCTCTTAATTAACTTCTTTAATTATTTTGACTTTCTCTGACTCTGCAGAATAAGGAGGAGTTGACCATTATTTATTTCTTAAAAATTTATGACAATTATTTCTATCTCTCCTATTGTAATAAACTCTAACGTGCATGTATAATAAATATTGATACTGTAATTTAAGATCACTTGCAGCCATTAATTCATTTGTAATAAAAACCAATTTATTGTTTGTCAGTCAAACAGCTAACCAGAAAACCAGCATTTAAATCTGAGCCACCATTAAGTTTTCCCATCATGCCTCCTCCTACCTCTCGATTGCATTTTAATTACATATACATAATTGTTTCAAGAAAATAACAAGATGAAAACCAGAAGCTTATTCATGATTGTAAGTAAATCCTTATTAAGGAGAATACTCTCTCTGATCTTGTAAATGTCTTTCTTAATTTCACAAGGATTATATGTATGTATATATATATACATATATATCTATATCTATATTATATACTACCAAAATATCATTTGTTTGACTTAAATTTACTTACTTCATGAAAATTTATCATTATTTTTTGTTTGATTAGATGCTTCCCTTTTTATTGTAATGTATTGTATTTTGTTGTTCAAGTCCAACGTCTACATTATTATACTTACAAATTGAAGTCCAATCATAAAAACTATTCATATATGTTGGTATATATGTAATGTAAATAATTCCTGCATGTTTGATTTCAGCTCACACTTTTAAACACTAAAAAACTTACCAACCCACAAACAGGAAAAGACTTGGCAATTACAAACCCTTAGATTCAACTACAAATACATGTTTATGTAGAAAAATTTAAAAAAAAAAAAAAAAAAGACCAGACAAGCATATCTTGGATCACCCTGTAAAATTGAGTCTACTTGAATAATGCAGCAAACTCAACAGTTTTAGACATCAAGTACTCCCATATTTACAGTATGAGAAAGCAGCATTCAGTCAAAGAGCACAAGCCTGTATGGTAGACAAAACTATATAAAACAAAACTAAAATGAATATATTGCCCTACAAAAACCCAAAAACAAAAAACAAAAAAAGAACAGCAAAAAACCAGATAATGGTAATTGGAATATCACTAAAAAGGCAGTGGAAAACCAATCTTGAGAAAATGCTCTAAGTTTTTGTTTTCTTGTTTCTTGTTTTTTGTTGCTTGTGTTTTCAAACTATAGTCTTCATTCAAAATGATCAGCAGCTGTGATTCTAAACAAGCTTGCTTCTTTGTCTTTCATTTCTTTCCTGAAATCTTGGACCTGCAATCAAATGATTTACATCACTAAGATTGTCCAAGAAGCAATACAATTCCAGGATTGTTTTGTTTCACATTTAACTTACCAAGTCCATTGGCCTCCGAGGTCCTCATTATGCGAAGCCTTCTCACCGAGCTTAGGAACATCCTGAAATGAATTAAACAATAATTATGAATCACATTCGGATTGAACCACATACAAACAATCAATACTATAAGCAACTACTCATAACAGGTTTGGGTTGGATCTAATAATCTTCTTATCTAACATAATTGATTAATTTTGTAATCCAATCTAATGTAATTGATTACAGAGCTGAGAGATCGTAATCATGATTACAGCTTTAACTACAATAATTTTAGATTACGAATTTGATTTCATGGTTATATAGAGGAAATAACTAAGACAATCAAATGTGAGTAAAAAATATTTTTCGTCAAAAAAGGAATGAAACATGTTTTTATGGTTAATTGAGATGAAGGATAAGAGGTTACCCCCAGGGAACATCTCCTACGAGCATCCAATCTCCCTCTTTATCTTCATAAGTAAGCACAAACTCAGATGATCCATCCAAAAGCTTTGAGGCTTTTGCTTGTTCCTTCTCCCGGCTCGATCCTAGCAAATGTCACTAAACACGTCAACCCGGATAAAGTAATTAATCAATTAACAGAAATCAGCTAAAGTTACTACTTTGATTATCAACATAACATATCCCTCATCCACATATGAAAAGAACCTACCATTGCATGTGTGTGTCTGTGTACATGTATATATGTATGTAGAGAGATAAAGTGCAAAGTGAAACTGGGTATGCCTAATTAATCTGACATGAGGACACCCATAATTAGTATGGAGATTAAAAAAAAAGAGAGAAAGACCATTAATGGAGGTGATAGTGAAAGAAGAAGTCCTAAAGAACATGTCCTCAAGAGCCTGAGCCAAGGTTTGATAAGTTGAATGAGCATTCAAATCCACTTCCTTCCGATTGGAATTCCATCCATATTCACCTTGACAAACCCAATATGCCTTTTTCATTGCATATCTTTTTCTTCAAACCATCTTTGTCTTTCTCTTCTTCTTCACCTCTTGGGGCTTTCCCCTCCTTAACCAAGCTGTTCATCCTGTGAGCCCCAATTGGTGGCCAACCCACAACCTGGCTGCTTTCACAAAATAAAACTATTTTAATTATATATGTATAAACAAATTGTTTATATTCTAGGAAAATGAGCAAGAAAAATGAAACCCAAAAATGAGGATCAATATACACTTGCAGTTAACAAAAGAAAAATGAGAAGAAAGCTGAGAAATATACACAAGATTGAAGGACTGATAGTGCTAACATCATAATGTTTAAGAACCCAGAAAACCAGAGCCTAACATATGAGTTTCTTTTTCCATGTTTCTGCACAGTTTTCTCATGAAACAAACAGAAAACAATCAAAAAGAAAATTAGAGTAAAATGAACCTGGCAGCAGGAGGGGATCCAGATTCATGTGGGGCAGAGTCAGCAGCTCTCTTGGTCCCAACAGAAGCTCCTCTACGACCATGAGAGACAACAACAGAAGGAAAATCCTTTGCAGTCAGGATTCTACCACACTCACCCCATGCTTTCTTTCCCGCACCACCTGAACCCAGGCTAAGTCCAAGACCCAGCTCAAGCTCACTATCAGCTTCACCACCCTCCGCCACGTCCACTGCAGACTCGTTCGAAGTACCAAGCAAAGTAAGACCAGATTCCATGAGAAAATGAGCAAGAAAAGAGGACTTCCAAAGATTTTCTGGGAGAAGAAGGTGTTATTTGCAGAGAGAGTTTGGGTTATGGAGAGGAGGAGGGAGAAGGGGAAAGATGAAGGTAGGTGGTGGAAGGAGTGATGATATGGGACCCATGTGTCTGCTAGTGCGCCAAGCACTCTCTCCTTCCCTTTATTTTTTTCTTGACACCATGATTTTCTCTGTAGAATCTGGTTTTTCTCCTGTTTGGTTGAAAAGAAAAAACAAAAGCAGAGATTTTTAACAACAAAATCCCGAGAAAACAAAACAGACACACACCTCCATCTATGTACTGTTCAACCAACTGGCGTCACCCACAAGTTTCTGAGTTCATTGAGAGCTTTTAACCAGGAGCCATTATAAACATATTTTATTAACTATACATTTTTACAAATGTAGTGTGCATGAAAATTATGTGATAAAAAAAATATGTAATCCAATTCATATTAATATTTGATATTCGGAAATGAATAGTCCGTCAACTTTTTTTTTTTTTTTAATAATTTTTTAACAATTTAATACGCGTATATAGTTATACATTTTGATCATTTTATATAGAAAATAAAATGATCTTATATTTTACATGCTTCATCTTCTTTTAAAGCATTTCGTTATGATGATGTAAAAGCTAAATAGTTATTTTTTCATTAAAATTTTAAAACGAGTATTTTCTAAAATTAATTCCTACTTACACCCTATTATTGTATTTGTAATTAGGGTAAAATATAAGAAATATAATTTAGTCTTTAAATAAATATTACAAAATTACTATAATACACTAATATATGTTAAATTTATCATTAACATATAAGTTATTTGTTCCCTAACAATAATTCACAATGAATTTGAAATATCAAAATTAGAGAGGGCATGTATAAATCTAATCTCATAAATTTAAGAATAATGGTGAATCTACTACAAAGTTTTAATTATTTACATAGTTTGTAAAGAAAATATAAGTGACAATGCACAAGTTAAGATTTTTACTTTATTAAATAACTCATATAACAAGTTTGAAAACTATACAAAATAATAATCTAATTTTTGTTCAAATTAGTTAGTGTCTTTTTTCTTTTTGTTAAATTAATTTAATTATTTTTTTTAAAAAGTAAACTTATAATTTTACATGTTAAATTTATTGATATATTAATTTTTTTATTAATTTAAATATTAGTTGAATGGTAACGTCAGATATCATGTATTAAATTATATAATATTTTTTTTTTAATTTAAAAAAATTTGAATTAGTAAAAAAAAAAACAAAAATAAAAATGTATAGTTATCTTATCAAGTTAATAATATATTAAAGAGAGTGATTAAATCAAAAATAATTTGATTAAAAAATGAAGTAAATACTAAAGTGAATAAAAAAATACTATACAAAGACTAAATCATTGCATAATTAAAATTGTACAAATTCATTAAAAAATTGTTTTTAAAATTTTCAAATAATAAATTATATGTACATTTACCAAAATTTCAAGTTAAATTTCTTCAATTGGATTTGTACAACATCTTTCTCCAATTTCATTCATTTTTTAAAAAATATTTTCTTAAAAATTTCATGTATTTATTTTTTATAATATTTCATAATATGTCCTCATCTTCTTTAAAAAAGATTAATTTTGTTATATATTATTTATTCATGCCTTAAAGTTACATGAAACCTATTTAGTAACTTAACAAAATGGGAATTTGGTATTAATTAAAAGAGAAAAAAAAAGTAATGTAGAGATTAAAGAAAAAAAAAAAGAAATGAAGCCTATAATTATTATAATACTTGATTAAAGTATAACAAAGGTTTAGGAAATTAGGAAAGGTGTAGGTTAGCTTTTATATATATATATATATATTTATATATATATTTATTTACACACATAGAGAGAGAGACACACACACATATATATATATATATATATACATAAAGCAAAGTGGTAAAGTAAAGTGTTTTTATTAGAAACAAAAGCATATTGTAATCCTACACTTGTGTCTACTATTTTAAGGACAAACACCATTAAACCCTGTTTTACAAAGTTGAGACCTAAACAATTTTATTTTATTTTTTATATATATATATGTTTTTTTTAATCAATTAAAAAGACAACTAATTACATCCCAAAACACACATTAATTATTATAATTATTGTAACTAATTAAAACCTGTATTTTATCATTACAAAATCACTGTTTCATTTCTTTTGACTGTTTGTTGGCTACTTCAACTAACACCCATTTCCAAAGTGAGAAGATAATTAAACATTTTCTATAATATATTTTTACTAAAAATTCGAGTTCATAATTAATATTTATTTTAGAAATTAATCATAATTTAACAATTTCAAAATTAGGGTTATCAATTAAAAATTAAGATTAAATATGTAATTAAATTTTGAAATATATATAATAAATTTATTGGAAATTCATTTTTGGAGGTCAAGAAAAATATGGAGAGAAAATCAAGAAACGGGAAAGATAAAAATAAAAAAATAAAAAAAAGTATCCAAAGGTTAAAAAGGCAGTCACTTTGGAGGGACAAACCGACAAGGTCACGTGACTCGATGCTCCGTTTAGTTTGCCACGTCATCCGACAGAGTCCGCGGCTGACCCGGGTCCCAACCCAACCCTTTATAGTCCGAGACAGCTCGCCGCTTTCTGCAACTATCCGCCAAACTCCCCCACTCGCACCATGCCTCACGCGTCACGCAAGTGGTTTTTAAGACCGTGCACAACCATATATTTTCCTTTTAACAAATAATTATTTGATTTTTTAAAGCCTCTCGGTTATTTAGAGATATATGCTTTGTATAAATTTGTGACGTAGAAAGATTAAAAAAAAAAAAGGGCATTTAACATATTTGTCATTACATCATTGTATATGATCATAGTTATAGTTCAAGTTTAATTTTAAATTTTGATAAGAAAAATAGTCAGAAACTTATTATGTAATTTGAATGTGATACCGTCGTATAATTGATACCATCTTAATAGATTTTAGGTGTATTATAGTACAGATGAATAAATCTCTTAATATCAAATATGAATATTGAGTGGCTCGTCATATTCGCTGTATCATTGTCTAATATGAATATACTATTAATATTATTTTTAAATTTTAAATATATAAAGAATTACATATCAATATAAGTATTTGGTAACCAATCTGAAAGACCACGTGTATATATAAAAAATATATTCACAGAATATATTTATTTACTAAGCTGACATTACTAATAACAAATGACAAATCATATATATATATTATAAGTACAATTAAACTAGTTATATGTCGTAAAAATTGTATATAATTATGGGTAACATGTCATGTATTATAGGTAATGTAATTATCAAGTTATAGGTAACACGTAGGTGATTATATTACAAACCCATGTATTTTTAACCAGACATTGATTATATAGATATAATTATGTATGATATATTTTTAAATATTTCCTGTAATGTTTTTGCAACTTCAAATACATCATGCCTATTTCGTACCATACATATCTCATTTCATTTTATATAATTTCTAATTACTGAATTCCAAATCTTCAGCTCCCAACTTGCCCTTCACGGGTCCAATACTTATCATTCACCAGACAAGTTAATTTATTTTGTTTAAAAACTTTCGGTGAGTTCTTATAATTATGTTGAAAAATACAATAATGTCTTGATGAGAATTAGTGGAGTATAATTTATTAACCGGAGATATACTTAATTAAAGCCTGTAAATATAGAATTAAATGTTCATATTTGATAATATTTGTAACGTACATGGGTTATTATGTTTGAAACATTTTGATGTTTTAACATAATTAATGTCTTGTTAATTTCTTACTTTTCATTGTTTTATTTTAGAAATTAAATAGTGCTCACTCAAGTTGGAATCTTATTATATGCTTGATAATTTGATATATAAATACTATGGAAGTTTTTGCACTTTAACTTCGTACAAATTTTGGGACAACTTTTTTTTTTTCTAAAATTATAAGTTTTAAAAATTCGAACGTATTTTTTGTACACAAATAGGTTTTTTTAACATTGAATATATTAGAATTCAATTTTGTTTAAATATCCTTATGTCTCTTAAGATTTTATTTAATTATAAGGATAAATAAGTTCCTAACACTTGAACCCGATTTTAATATTTAGAACTTTCTAATACTTAATTATATCTTAAAGATTTGAATGATTTGTTTTTGGATACAAAGAAAAAAAAAAGTACAACATGACTTAAATATTTTACATTATAGATCAAGAAACACTAACCAGATTGTCTATGATAATGTTAATAAGCTCTTCAAATGACTGACTATGGTAACAATAGACCAGAGGATTCTAGAATGCATGATTAGCTAAATACTTTGTATAACGTTTTCCTTTTATGCATAACGGTTCTTTTCTTTGGTAGTGCTTTTGGAATTGAAACAAATCGTTAAAATCTAGAGAAAAAATAATAAAATGAGAATATGAAGAGTATGGTATAAATTATTAATTAAAAATATAGTTTAATTTATAAAATAATTAAATTATTATTTTCTAAAAAATAGTAAATCTAGTTGTATTTGTACCTAGAGATTGAAACTTTCTACATAATTTACCCAAAATAAAGTGGGGAAAAGGATGGACATAAGCTAAGAAACAAGTGGGCAAAAGCAAAATGCCTAACAATCATGGTAAGGTAAAAAAGTATGAAATGGTACTAAGATAAAAAAATAAAAAAGAAAAGAGATATAAAATGATAGAAATCCATGGAACCATTTTTAAATTCCTTAGGCACCAATTCTTTCATCATATACAAATTGATAGAGTAAGAAAATAAGATAAAAATTATTTTATTTTACACCAAATTTTACATGAGATAAATTTTATCATTTTAAGAATGCTTTTTGCTATTTTCTAATTGAAATAAATGTAGATTTGTAAATAAGTTTTATTAAATTTCTATATTTATTCTAAATATAGGCTTATAAGGGAGTTCATATTTTTTAGAAAAAAAATTATTTGTTAATTCACACATAATTTAATTAGGAGATGGTAAAATTTTTATGTAAAATGATGAAAATGACCAAATAGAAAATTGATAAATGTGTAACACATTGTTTTAATGTAATCATATTTTGAATTTTCAGAATCTCTTAATTAAATTAAGTGTATATTTTTAGATAAATTTCTTAACAATTATTGATTTTGTCTTAAATGTAGTCTAATTATGAGATTGTAGAATGTATATTTTTAAATAAATAGTTCTATATGTATATATATTAAAAAATTACATTTACTTCAACTAGAAATTACCAAAAATTCTATTAGAAGATTGTAAAACTTACATTTTGAAAATTTTAAATAAAATTGAAATAGTATAGCCTATATTTTATATAAAAAAAAAATCAATATAATTGTTCAATGTTTTTAGTTAAAAAACAAAGAAAGGAATGAAAGAAAATGTCTCTTAATATCACCCAAAAGCCAAGTATAAAAGTTTCTTGTTTAAAATCACTTGATAAGACCCAATAAACATTAGAAGAATTTTATAAAATAAAAAATTATAAACACCATTAATTATTATGATTTAATATGATTTGAAAGTTGATATACATATATATATATATATATATATATATACACACACACACACATACATACAAATTGGTGAAGTTGTGGGCGAGCGGGTGGATCGTATATTCAACATGCAACCGAAAGATCCAACATATCATCTTCGAGGATTGGATTCTACCAACCCAAATTTTCAGATTTATCCAACAAAAAAAGGAAGAAAAAGATTTATACTTCTTTGAAAAGTTATACTTATTTAATTTAAGAGATGGATAATTTTCTCTCCATAGATTTATGAAATATATATATATATATATATATATATATATATGGCATTTGAACAAAGGTGGTCATGCAGAAGGGTAGTTAAGTTTTTGGTATACGGCTAAAAAACTATCATATATAAGTGTGTCTGTATACACACACACACACACACATAGAGATACAGGGACGAGAAGAGCTCCAAGAATAACAAGCGTGTAAGGCAAGATTTGCATATATGTGTGTGTGTGTGTATAGATATGGTTGTCTGATGTCACATCATAAATTGTTTCTTTTATTGGCATTATAAGGACCAGCGAAGACAGTCGAATTACAGACCTGATGCTCCACATGAGAGTGAGATTAGGCTCGGGGGCGATATCATACCTTGAATTGGATAAAGCAGCATCGTGATATTAAATTAACTTGGAATAATAAGATTTGATTGATTAATTTTTTTATTATTTTTCTTGTATAATTTTTTATTGGGAGAAATTGTGGGTGGGGTCTGGAGAATTAAGAATGAAAGGTTGTATTTGGATAAGATTAGAATATATATAATGTGTGTGTGTATATATAAATTGGAGATATGTAAAATTTAAGATGGCTTTGCTTTTAAATGTCATTCTCCAAAGGACAAAAAGTAGTTTGGCTGGGGAAAAAGGCATCACTCTCTTTGTTGACTAAAACGTTAATTACTACTTTTGCCCACCGCATCTATGAATAACATTTAGAGATATATCTACAGCACTGAGATTGTTCAAAATATTTAGAGATATGTTCTCCCACAGTTTGATAAATTTGGAAGATGTTCGTTAACGCCATGTGATTACGAGAGTATAGGAGATTTTAACAAGTAATAGTTTTTGTTTTCCATTTTAACTACTACGTGAAACAATTTTTCAACATGGTTCGCATGAAAATGTATAAGTCGTGATTCAAGGTATCGGAGAAGAGAGGAAACCTTCGACATAATACAGGCAATGATAATTGGCATTGCTTCTTAATTGAAGCCTCTAGGAGCAAGCATTGATATAAGATATATTTATGTTGGAAAATACTTTTATTTTTCATTAAATGCGAAGATGTTTATGTTTACATAGAGATTTAACTATTGTCTATAAAATCTTTATAGAGATTAAGTATAATAAATATACAAGTAATAGTTGTAAAAAAAAATATTACGTTAAGAGATCTTATTTAAACGAACATGCATATTATTTTATTCAGAAGATATAAATTTGTTTTCAAAATGAGTCATATCTCAAACTAAAACTTTATCTTTCTTTTGAAATTGACATGTATCTAGTTATTAGTATTTATTCTTACATACTATTTTTATATTTGTATTTATTTAAATTCTGAAAGATTTCTATTAAGTATCAAAATTTATTTGAAAATACATGTTACAGTGATGATTTTACACTCAATGGTTTGTTGATTATAGTCTGAAAAGCAACATAATATTTTTTTTTTTTGGGTTCTTGAGAGTATCATAATTACTCCTAAAAATTAGAATAAAACATTAACTTGTTTGGATTTTGTTTCTCCTGAGATTTAATGGGTATTCAAGTTATACTGGATTCTTACATAATCTTTTCTAATTAATTATTTTTTGGACTAAATATAAATTTTTTTTTTAATTTCTTCTAAGTAAATTAAACTCAAGTCCAAGTACCAAATTCAACTCAGAATTTTAAGTTAACAGTATCTTAAACGAATAAATTTTTAATATTTGAATATTTAACTCGGCTAAAATTCATTCAAATAATTTTGACTTGAATTGAAACAAAATTGGTCTTCCAATATTTTAAAAAATTTGTAGTTTCGGAAGAGAAAAAGAAAATAATACAAGAGATAAATGATGAATGGGAATGATAATTTTATTCAGTAACTTTGTAGTTCATCATAAGTATGTAAATGGGGAGATTCAAAAAAAAAAAAAAAAAAAAAAGTGGATCTGTCCTTTGGGTCTGTAATGGGTGAAGATATATTTGAGGCCCATATATTTAAATCTACCCCTGCATGTAAATGAATAAACACCATTAGATTAATTTTGATTTAAAAAAAAAAAAAAAGAAAAATAGATATAAAATACATGTATAAATTCAAATAATTTAACATTTGTAATGAAAAAATAAATAAAAACGAAAATAATAAACACTAATCCCCCCAGCAAAAGCAAATGTTACCCAACTCCCCCCTCCCACGCACATACAAGTTTTATGGGCTTGTGCGGTGTCGTTTTGGGCTAAAATGGGATTGTTTGAAATCAATCCATCATCGTCGCCAAATAATAAAAATAATTTACAGCAAATTTAATTATCAAAATCCCGCCTCTACCTCTTTCATTCACCTAATCACACCGAGCTCAAATTATTCAATGCGGGAGTCCTGCGCTTGCTACTTGTTCTCTTTTTCGCACTCGCTCCCTCGTCTGATCCGCATACGATCGAGCATTCCAACCCGCATATGTTGCTGAAGCACGAGAACAGCCCACCTCCTGATCCTTTCTTGCTGTGATTCTTCTCTACCTTTGCTTTCATGTGTTTGATGCTGCGCATGCCGGTTGCACCTCCGCCGCCGCTTGTACCGGTGAAAGCTTCGGTCTCGCTCGTTTGGTAGCTCGAGAATTCGCCCAGGTCGTACAAGGGTGGGAGCTCGGTACGCCATCTTTCCAACTTGGAGCGGAGACCCTCTACGCTGGAGTCGTCGTAGCTCCACTCGCTGATGATGGAGCTCTCGACATCGTAAAGGGCCGCTCGGGCGGCTCTTTCTTTGGCCAATTGGGCTGCCACCTCGGACGGAGACGGACCCAGTTCGGATTCGGTGAGTATGGGTCTTCCTGCCAAGTTGGATCTCATGGGGGTCCCAAAATCAAGGTTAGATTTCATAGGGGTGAGGAGGAAATTGGTGTTGGATCTCCTTGGTGTGCTCTTTACATTGGACCGTCTCGGGGTACTTTTTAAGTTTGATCTTCTGGGAGTGCTCTTTATGTTGGATCTCATCGGCGTTCCCATTTCCATGTTTATTCTCTTCAGGGTCTCGTATTGGTGGGTTTTGGAAAACGGATATGGGGACATAGCTGCATCGTATTCCTTGTTATTCGAATAGGGTTTCACCTTTGGAGGCTTAATCGATTTAGGGGTCTTGCGCGGCTCACCACCACCACCAAACCCGTCGACGATGGGCGACTTGCGCGGGTCACCGCCACCAAACCCGTCGATCAGCAAAAGAGGTGTTGCTTTACCTGATGGGTTGAGAACATCAGACTCGAAAGAATCATGTATTTTTTTCTCTTGTTTACCCCTCTTGGGGGTTCTCGGCGGTGGATCTCCGGCAAATTCTGATTCGGATGTTGCCGAATCCACTTTTTCTTTTGAACTTGGTGGTACGCTTTCTGAAGCGCTGAGTATAGAGCTACCTTTAGGACTGGTGATTACTTTGTTCTCTATCACTGTTGCCTTTGTTGTCTCTTCGTTTACCTTTGTCTCCTCCGTTGTCTTTTTCTTCCCGGCAGTTTTCTTCATTATCGATGAAATCTCAATTTCTAACCCGTTGACCATGGACCCGCCTTTGCTGCTAACCGAACTGCTCCCGCTTCTTACCATTCTGAGCCTCAGATCAGAGGCCAGCAACGAACTGGTGTCGCTCTTTGTGCGCCGCAGCTCAGGCTTTGAGGAAATTGATTGCGCAGGGGTCTTATTAGACCCAGTTTTGTTGTGGTGGTGGTGGTGATAGGGATCCACCTCGCCCATAAGATCTCTATACCCGACGGCAGAAGAACTCATCTGGGTATATATCGGCATGCTCCTCATTGAACTATTTAGCAAAGCCACTCCCACGTTCAAGATCCCTTGGGGCCGACCGGAGGCTCGTCGAACCTGGAGCGCCAAAAACCTCATTCCCGGCGGTGGCTGGTGAAACTGAGGACGTGCATGGGGAGGAACGAGATTGCCCACAAGAACACGAACGGTCCCGACATGTATATCACGGAACCAATGAAGAGCATATATCTCGATCATGACAGCAGAGGTATCGGTGTAGAGGAACTGATCATCAACCCTGAACACGAACTTATCATTCCAGGTTGGATTGTTTTGACCGACGGCATCAACCCGAGTATTGAGTTTACGAGTTTGATGAACCCAAGCGACGGCGTAAGCTTTCATGTGACGACAAACAGGAGCCAAATCCTGAGCAGAGATAATATTTAGCTCCAAGAGCTGAAAGGGTGCGATAACGTTAGACATAGTTCGGGGAATGGGATGGATGGATATATGGCTGTTTTGGGTTTTGTTCCTTTTTATTTAAGGATATGCAGAGGGAGAGGATGGAGGAGGAGGAGGAGGAGGAGGAGGATGAAGGTGGTGAACCCCTTCGTAGCCCGCAAGACGGACATGAAGGGGGTGGGGGATGGGGAAGATGGGGAAGGAGATAGGGCCAGCCAAGCCAAATGAGGAGAGAGAGAAGGGGGGGGATTGATTTTGGGTGTACATAGCGGGAAAATAGGAAGGGAGATTTGCTAAATTTGACACAGGTGGAGAGATGCCATTGGCTGTCATGATAAGCCACACAACCGATATATGATTGGAATTCAAAAGTCAACCCAAGTTTTGTGGTATTAACCCAACTCTTGAGGTGTTATGATTGCTACTTGTTATCCCACTTTCATATCATATAATAACAAAAAAGAAACTACCTCCTATAATTATATAACTTATTTAAATATTCATTACTAATTTTATAATACAATTAATTAATTAATTAAATTGTAATTTCATATTTTGTACTTTTTATGACCCAAACATTATTTTTTTAAACTTTTAATACGGTTTTAACTCTAAGCAGTTTTCTTGTATATTCCTTAAAGTCTCCAAGTCAACAACCAACGTTTGACCAGACAAAGACAAGAACTTAGTACAAAAATTACTATTTTAATCATTAAAATATTTACCATTTTACAATTTTTGTCTTAAAATTTCAAAATTATTTCATGGTGCAAGGTTTTTTTTTTTTTTTTTTTTTTAATTTAAAAAATTTAATTATAAAAGTGATTTAACATTTTGCTCTTTCTTCAATTTGGTCCTAAACCTTTTAATTTGCTGTAATTAAGTTGTTAAGTTTTTTTTTTTTTTTAAATCGATCATTAAGTTAACTAATATGTCACCTTGGACATAATGGTTTTTACGTGAAAAAAATTTCATTTTAAGATTTTACACTTTTAAGAAATTCAAACCTAATTGATTGAGAATTGAGAATTATATCTTTCAATTTTATTCTTGCATTTTTTTAATTCAGACTATTATAAATATATATAATTTAATTTTTATTCAAATTTTTTATATTTTTAATCTATGCAACGGTTGTATCATTGAAATTAATATCCCGATCGAATTTAAATTTTTATATAGCTTATTTAGAAAAAGAAAGAGTTCGAACTCAATTAAAAAAAAAAAAAAAAGTCAATGAAAAATTGAGGTTTAATGAGCTTGGATAAATACCAACTATTTAAATCAAGTTTAATAAACTTGATTCCCGAGTTTGTTTAAGCAATTATTTACCTAATTTTATTTAAAATATTAAAAAATAAATTTAATATTTAATTAAAATATAATTATTTCTAATTAAAAGTAAAAGATTTTTGGTAAAATGAGATATGAATTGTTTACAAACATATCTTACTCCTTAATATCCCTAACTCTAACATCGATTTTCACAAGTAGGTCTATATAATACGAGTCTTATCCAAATTAGTGTGTAAATGCTCACATGAAGATGAGATTGATTAGAACAAGCAACACCAAATTTATTAAGCACCCAAAAAGGAAAAAAATAAATAAAATTATTTGATGATCTATTTTTATGTGTGTGTGACTTGTATTATTTTAACTTATTTTGTATATATTTTTATATTTAACATATTTTTTTTTTAATATTTAATGTCAATGTAAGAATTCTACAATTTACATATAGCATGGTACTGATTTTTTTCTTTGGAAAGAGAAAAGTAGTATTACTAAAAATAATATATAAATATTATGACTTGAATTTTATATATGATTTGTCGAATTTGAAATTTTAAAAAAAGTATTAAAATTTAAATAATTTAAAAATAATTTAGAAAAATTTAAAAAATTAAAAATAGAATTAGAATTTAAAGAAAAAGTGAGAACATAATTTTTTTTTAAAAAAAAAGTTACTAGAAAACAGAGAAGAGGTCGAGAAAGAGAGAAATGAAAAAAGTACGTGAGAACGCTAATCAATTATTGCAATTATTAAAATATATGAAAAATTTTATCAACTATTATAATTGTTTATATTTTTCTAAGATCTCAAAAGAAAGCTTTAAATATTTTAATATATACGGAAATTTTTGGTCTAGTGTTAAAAATATTTTAACAATAAGGTTAAGTTTTATTCACATCAACTTTAAAATAATATGAAATTTATTTTTAATCAAGTAAACTCAAAGCTTAATCAAAATCCTCTTACGATGAAAAAAGAAAAGCTAAAAGCCAGATTTCACGTGATCCTTATTTCTCAAATCATGAGCTTCTTGGGAACTTTAGTCAGCATCTCCATTCAATAAATTTATAATGAAACCTGATATAATATAATTCATTAATCAATGATTATATTATGGATTAACGGTATACATAATATAATTAATAATTAAATTTTAATATATCAGTGAAATTATAATTATGAAATAAGTTAAATCTAAGAGAATTTATTGTATTTCTAGGTAAAAAAATATTTTTCATTTAAATTAATTATAATAGGTTAAAAAATCTCAACTAACTTTTTCGTATTAATTTAAAAAAAAAAAAGGTAAAAATATGATATATATTTTCAGCCCATCATCTGATCTATGATCCAACCTGTAATACTTAGATTGCTTCCAGTTTTATCTCTTTGTTTTTTAAGTTCTAGTTAATTGCTTAGAATCCCAAGACAAGCTCCAGTCTCTCCTTCGGTTCAGCTTCTGAGAAAATCTCTGATTTGGAATCAACTGATAAAATCTCTTCACTGAACAATGTTGAGAACCGAACCATCTCTTTCCATATATACTCGTACGGAAGGGGCTGAAAATGGAGAGATCCAGCAAGAAAACCTCCCGACAGATGAAGCATTGGAAAGGACAATTACTATTGGAGACAGCATTGCGGGTGGTGATAGTGGAGGATTCAGCTTTGGGAAAATGGGTATGGGGTTGATTGAGGAACGAGGAGAAGGGGATGAAGAAGAAGCATTAACAGATGAAATTCGAGACTTGGGTATTGGGGAAGAAATTGAACGGCCAGCTAGTCCTCCAATGTATCTCGCTGCCGGACTTGGAATTGATGGTAACGATGGTTTAGGTGGTGTTGATTTTAATTTTCCTGAATTTGATGAGAGTGACGATATTGAGGAGAATTATAAGAGGTTGATCGATCAGTATCCATGCCATCCTTTGATTCTCAAAAACTATGCTCAGCTCTTACAGGTGAAAATTAACTCTTTGATCTGCTTCTGATTATTTTGCTCGGTCAAGATCATTTTAGATCTGAGTAGATTTGCTTAGAACTCTCATAATCATATCTTCGGTATCTTCAGATCTGCTACTGCTTTGTTATTGTGTCTTTATTTAGACCTACATTTGCCACTTATGCTCATTCATTATTTACTTAAAATAATTAATAGAACTGAATATCCAATAAGCTAATAGAAAATGATCTAATCAATTTTATATAATTTAACATATTTCTCTAATGCTGAAATATACTATATTGAGAGCATGGATAAAATACTAATCAAAGTCATGTGATACTATGTTAAATAATTTATTGAACCAATTATTTAAAATTTAAGTTGATGAAAAATCAATTATTTATACTCTGAAAATCAAAATGAAGCAAATTGATGTCTATGGTGCTAAATAAGCAGTCGAAAGGTGAGTTTCATGGAGCAGAGAAATATTACCATCGTGCTATATTAGCAGATCCTGAAAATGGTGAAATTCTATCAATGTATGCTAAGTTGGTGTGGGAGGTCCATCATGATCAAAGTAAAGCTTTGTGTTACTTTGAACGTGCAGCTCTTGCTGCTCCTCAAGATAGGTGAGTGTTTCCAACTTCCTCTTTCTCTCTTTTTTTCTTTTTCCTGTCTTTTGAAAGAAAAGGAAACTGGGAATTGGTCTTGAAGTTGTATATGCCTCTGCATGTATTTTTTTTTTTCACTCATGGAACTGGTGCTTTACTTTTTGTATCTTGTTTTCAGCAATATCCTTGCAGCATATGCGAGTTTCCTCTGGGAGGTAGATGAAGCTAGAGAAGAAAGTTACCAACAATTAGATGAAGTCCAGGTGCTTCATGGGGGAAATCATGAATTTTCTATAACTTTCAACTGTGAGCTAGGCTTGAAAAGCTCTAACTCTTGTAAAATTTCTTACAGACTGTTGATGAAAATCTAAATGAAGCCAATAATTCGGTATCTAAAGAAGGTCCCCAGACAGCTAGGCCATTATTGCATCATGTTGCAGGACTTGGGAATGATCTGAGTGAAGTTTCGGCAGCTGATGAAAAGGGAGCCAATGTTGAGGAGAGTTATAAGAGGATGCTTGAGGCAGACCCTGACAATCCTCTTATACTAAAAAATTATGCTCAATTCCTTTGTCAGGTGAGATTTCACTATAAATAGATGTTTCCGCTGCAAATCTCCATACGACAGTACAATGAAGTAAATGATAATTTTACTGGTGAGAGTAACCCTAGTAATTGGTAGTACAATTTGTTTACTAGGTGAAAACATAAGTTACAGGATGTCATCTTATATGGATTTGAACATAAATATCTATAGTAGTCTATATACCTACAGGAAAATTTCTCATGGCACTTCATTATTTTGGATAAAAATCTACATGGTATTAGAACTAATTCCCCTCATGAGTTGGTCTTCCATAGTTCCTTGTCTGTGCCATGCCTGCTCTGGTAGACCTTCTGCGTTATAGTTGATGTACCTGAGTAACTCTTCTTGACACCATACAATTACACCGTAAGGATAATTGGATATGCTTCCTTTTGAAAGAATTTACAAGCAATATACTCTTAGTTCCTATTTGATTAAAATGCATCTTAGAAAAATCTGAGGGATATTAGTTCATGAGTCTTGATTAATATGTTTCATCATTTTCTTTGTTGGAGTTTCAGTCAAAGTGATTGTTATCTACAATTTGAGTGACAGTTGAAAGGAGACTTGAAAGGAGCAGAAGAATACTACTGGCATGCGATGACAGCTGATCCGGGAGATGGTGAAACAATATCCCAATATGCCAAGTTGGTTTGGGATGTTCATAACGACCATGATAAAGCCATGTATTACTTTGAGAAGGCAGTTGAAGCTACTCCTGGAGACAGGTATATATATGTGTGATTGATTATCAGAATCTCCCAGTACAGAATAATGGGTTGAGAGAGTGTTTGTTTGATTGTCTGCTTTCAGCCATGTTGTTGCAGCATATGCTCGTTTCTTGTGGGAAACTGAAGGAGAGGAGAGTGTAAGCCAAGACGATAACTTTGAAGTTCATGGAGGAGTTGTAAGTATTGCAAGTGCTTAATAAGCACTCATTAGTCATTATATGTTGCACATCTAAGCTCACTAGAACATTATCTTCTTTTTCTTTTGGGTAGAAAATAAAAGATTGCCTTATAGGCACTGTAACTAACACTATTTATGAATAAAAATTAGTAAAAAAAAAAAAGAGAGAATGAACATATTATGCTGTCCATTATGTTTTAGTTTTCATTCTCTAAGTTTATATTTATTTAAAAAAGAATGTAATATTTTGTTTAATTCAATTTTATAAAAGAAATGAAATGACTAGATATAAAATTGTTGATATAAAAATATAATTTAAAAAATATATATATAAAACTATTATTTAGAAGATCAATCAACGGACTCACCGAATATTAAATCTACAGACAGACAGAGAGAGAGAGAGAGCCAAAGAGACAGGACAACAGGAACAGGTACAACATGCTTACATATATGTTTCAATAGCTTCTAGTCGAAATCATCCAACTTAAACTCAAAACCTCATAAAATTTTCAATCAAATTTCAATATTGATTCATCATGTACTACAACAATTGTACAAAATCTAAGCCCCTCAATTTTTAACCCAAGAACCCAGAAACCATCCAAAAGAAAAATCCTGACTTCAATATTGGCTCCTTCACCTATGGCAACTGAAACCCGTCGACAAATATCAGTTCTTCTCCGCGACTTTCACTAACAAGATACCTACTTTCAAAAACAAACAAGGCAGCGCTACAGCTCATAGGAACTGTTATATACATGGTATGAATTAAATTGAAAAGACTAAGTTCAGAATATATATATACACACACACACACATATATCGGCAGACCAAAAAATCAACCCACTGACCTCATGAGAGATGACTAGAATAGATAAGTGATAATAAGCATATATGTCAACAACAGAAACCATACCTTCCTTTTCAATTGGAAAATACAACACCAAATTGACAAATCAATTTTACAAAATCACTACATCCAGCATGGACAACATGCAGAATTTGCTTTATTTGCTCAACAGCATCCTTTAAATAATACAAAATTGAATAAATGTCCATTCAGCTAAAATCGCTTCTCCATATTACCTAGAGATGGTATCCCCAAATGTTCAAGCATAATAATACCTACCAAACCAGGGGGTTTTCCAAATAAATAATCGCATCACAAAACCCCTTAGGAGAAAATAATGAAATTCATATTCCTATCAAATCTAATGAAAACTGACCCTGAGAATATTACTTGAATTTTTTTCTAAAACCTCTACTCCACTGAATTTTGTCCACTTCTTGAGATTTGGTGACCTGAGAAACCTCTGTCCTGGCGAGGACCTGGCCTATAGAAACCATTTCCTCTTGGTCTGTTATACTCTCGTTCCCCTCCATCCTGGATACTTAACCTACCAAAACTTCGACCACTGAAGCGGCCTCTTGTAGCCTCCGATTGATAGCCACCTCTCCCTCTACCCCTACCTCCTGATTGAAACATTTCAGTGAGATACAAGTTAAAAAAAATAGAACCCTATGCAACAGACAAAATCCAAAGAATATGATAAGAATTTGTAGCTTCATGATGTTACAATAGTCCTCCAGGAAAACAATCTAAAACCATCAGATCCAATGCCCAATTAGATTACCAAACACAGGCGCTGACAATTTACACATGATAGACAAAAGTTGATCAACCAATTTTTCAAGTGCATGTGAATCAAGATATTCCAAGAATAGTGAAAAATACAGATAAAACATTAAAATACTCACTCCCTCCTCTCAAGGGGATATTGCTGTTTGGTCTCCTCTCTTCAATGTATACCTGTCGTCCAGCAACTTGTGCACTGCCTGCCTGCATATATATAAAACGACACAGACATATGTTGACACAAACCATCAATGTAGAATAAATTTCACAACAATATCACCTAATACACCGTAACAGAATAATAAGAAATCAAATACTATGTCCCAACATATGGGACAGATAACGAGAGAGAGTTTGTGGAAAGAGCATTAGTAAAGTTCAGGAAGAACATCTGCATGCAGATCAAATATCCAAAGGCTTATTAGCAGCTTGTGAAAATTTAGTGAGAGAGTGGAGAAGCTTTGGTAACATTGAGATGGATGTCTCAAGCAGATCTACCGGTAGTAAAATTGTATTAGCATCTAGTGAAGTTTAGATAGAGAGAACTGAGACAGCTTTAGTGAAATCCAGATAGTTTTTTTTTTTAAATAAAAAACATAAGAAAGAGAGAGGGAAGAGAGAAATTGCAGATAGAATATGTACAAGATCTAATGGTACAAAAATCCTATAAGCAAAAGAGGACCATAAAACCTGGAGCTTAGCTGCAATGGCCATATGCTCCCAGTCAATCAGGTGACGGAGTTCGATTATGCGGGTCCAATCCCACTAATTACAGGAGTACACTCCTTATAGAAAAAAGAAGGGGCACATGAAAATCCAAAGACACTGAAATCAAAATACTGAGAAGTAAAAGAAGTAATATCACTTAATTTTTCTTTTCTCAAGTGAAAAGTTCACCCTCAAAATGGTTGGAAAATTCAGACCTTGACTGCAATATGAACACTGCTCATATCTTCAAATTCAACAAATGCATAGCAAACACCAACATCCTGCAAACAAAGAGGTCTTTTATTTTAATAAATTTGATGATGAGATACCTGTAATTGCAGATACAGGATTAGATAAGGAAAAACCTTGCGGCTCCGAATGACCACACCATCAGGCCTGATTTCTCCAAATTTCTTAAATTCCTCTTCGATTTCAGACTCGGAAACAGTAGAAGGCAAGTTTCTCACGTAAACAGATTTTATTTCTCCTGAAATCATAAACATATTAAATCAACAGTACACTTAAAATATGTAACCAACATTATGTTACTACAAGTAAAGCAAATAAAAAAAATAAGGGAGTTCTCTACTAATATAAAAGATGTAATACCAAATACTAAAATATAGAAAACGATGTTTCTTAAAATTTTAGGAAGCCGCATTATAACTGTTAAAGATAGTGGGAATTAAGGTTAACCTTCATCTTCTATGGCAGAAACTTCCTCTGTTTCTGCTACAGATCTTTCAGCAATAGTTGATGACACTAATTGCTGCTGATTAACAGGCTGTGAAGGATGATTCCACTCTGAAGCAGGAAGGTTATTCTTGTCATTCAAAGGTTGTTCAGCAGCAGCTGGAGCCGACTGTCCTTTAGCAACACGTAACTTCCAGGAAGAAAAATAAGGAAACAATAGTCAGTCCCATAAAAATGAATAATTTCGTATGTGCATATCTGGAACTGGTATAACAACTAAAGGGTCCATACTATGGAGGCATATGTGTGCTTTTGGCGTTCTCCAACAGATTCCTCCACAGAAGCAAGCAGGTAGTCTTGTATGGCATTCACTGTATTTGTAACAGAACCATTTGTCTCATCTGCACAATTGTTCTCTACAATATTTTCAGACTCAAGGGGTTGCTGCAATGGTTGCTCTGGTAAATTATAATTGTCAACTGGACCATTTTCTTTGACATCAGCACAAGCCACAAATTCCCTTCCTGGGATCTCTCCACCAAGTAAATAGTTGGACACTGCAAAAGGATATATATTTGCAGAAAAGTAGTATGAAACTGTTCATGTATTCAGCAAGATGTGCTTTTAGCTGAACTTTTGGAAGGAAATAGTTAAAAATTTCAAGGTTAAAACACGGGCAATTGTTGTCATAGGTTTAGTATAGCATGAAAATGTTTCCATATTAAGCTCAAGGGATAACTTCGAGTGCTAACCAAGGAGAAATAACTATGTCCTGCAGCTGCAGACTTGAATTCACTACTGAGTTGACCACTTCCAAAAACATGCAATAAAGACTAAATTCACCATCATGCAAATCCTAGCGCTAACACAATTTTAAACAATGATGTTTTTATGACAGTTAGGTGGGTAACTGTAAAAAAAAAAAGGTGGGTAACTGTAAAAAAAAAAAGGTGGGTAACTGTAAAAAAAAAAAGGTGGGTAACGTTAGACAAGGGAAGCACAGACATAAAGATGTTTCCAGAAGAAACTCCAGATATACCATTTAACAGCAAACCAAAAGGTAATACCTACATCCAGCAAGCATGAAATTAATTAGTTGATTATGGGTTGACTGCATTAGAAGTCTCATTCATTTACTAAAGAAACAAACAAACATCATAATGCCAAGTGATGGTGCCAAGTGCCACCCTAGTTTTACTCAATTCTATTTGTATCATAATACCAGGCTCAGGAATTGCAGCAGAAGCATTGCGTTTGGGGTCAAGGTTGCCCTGGGCTAATAAGACTGCCGGATGGTGATGAACTGGTTCGTCATCATTAAAGTGAAAAATGTCATTAAGATCAAAAATAGCCTTTTCTCATGAGGTGCAAGAAAAAATGTTTGCATAAATCTCCATCTGACACTGAAATCTTTTATTTGCATGGAACCAGAAACCATCACAAGGACGCCACCATTCCAAGATTCCAGGGAATGTGCAGTTTTGATCTCAATCGCATTAAAATTCAGCGACATAATTAATGCATGCATTTGCTGCAAAACGGACAAATGATGAAAACAAGCACTAATCATTAATTGAACTGAATAAAAAAACCAAAACAAGCAACTTCTCACAACCGATAAAATCTGACATAGAACTCATGTTCCACTTCTACCGGAAAACAAATTCACTTCTGCATCACAAGCATATTTGTAAGAGCACAACAGAAAGGTAAAGAAACATATCAACTAAGATACTACGGGAGCAATTAACAGCCATACCCTCATTTATTGCTAAATGGATATAGTTATTTTCTCAACATCAGAGGCCAAAACATTTATTGCTAATGTAGATATTATCATTCCATACTACAAACTTTCATCATATATGTCACCTAAAAATGTTAACAACTCAAATAAATATCAAAATACACATGCCCAGGAAATATAAACATAGCCCCTTCGGGCAGACAGCTCCTCCAAGAAAGGGAAAACACATTACCCAGTACTTTAATCAGGCAACTAGTGGCTATATAGTTCTTGAGTGATCATATCATATCTTAGGCCAATACAAGCTAAAAGCTTAAGTTATGCAATATCTTTAATTTTCCTTTATGGTGTTAATATGGCTCATCTTTATAAAAGGCTGCAGAAGGGTGACAGAGAGTAAACTCCACTCTTATGTAACTAATGTTTGTGCGTGGCAAAGAAAACCTCGTTTTCCATAAAATGTTTGTGCTGCAATCAAAAAGTAATGAACCAGATCATCCAGTTCCCCAAACCCCACTCTATCTTCATCATTTTCTACGAAGAAGCCGCCAAATAAAAACAGTCCAATAGGAAGTCATTAAACACAGACGAGAGAAGCTCCTTATACAAGAAAACCCAACTGGAATGCAGAAAATAAAGAGAACTCATAGAGCACAAACAATTCAGACATAATAACCCCTTAGGACTCCACGTTAAAGAAAATTTGGAGGAAGACAACATCAAAAGCACGATAGCAATTCATTAACACAAACGAAAAAAAATTCCTTTCAATCATGTAATTATCTATACATTGAACTTGAATACATAGAACAGATGATAAATAAGAAATCTACCATTTTCCCCATATCGGCGAGAAACCCGTTAAGAAAACATGAAAGATTAAAACTTGTAAAAATGAGTGGGTACTAAAAAGAAATGCAAATATACCAGCATCCCAGCGGCGGTCTCTCTGGTATTGCCATCGATACGAAGCATCGTACTGGCGTCACTATAGAACTGGTGTACAAATTCTGGCTGTTGTTGCAACACATGATAGTACTGCCCAACAAAATACGTACCCACCTTAAAAGGAACCAAAAAACAAAATCCAGATTTCAATTCACTTCATTTTTAAATTCCAAAAGAAAAAGAAAGAAAAACGAAACGAAAATGATAGAAAGAGAAAATGAAAAAA